GGAAAATCCCCCAAAAAGTCTGCAGGAAAATCCCCCACCGTTTTCCTACCGATCGATCGTTCTTTATTTGGGATCGCAGGATACCGTCTCCAGCTCCGTTCTCAGGGGGAGAGAAAGAGAGAGAGAGAGAGGAGAGACTTTTGGCTTCATGCAAGGAAAGCAGCAGAAGTCTTTCTTTCTCCCTCCCAAAACTCCGCCAGAAATGAGTCTTTGTGAGCCTCTTGGAGCAGGAGGCCTTGCAGGGTCCCAAGGACTCATTTCTGGCGGAGTTTAGGGGAAAGAAAGACTTTTGCTGCTTTCCTTGTGTGCAGCCAAAAGCAGAAAGAAGCAGAAAGAAGCAGCCCAGTGGCCAGGCCAGGCGTGTGGGGCAAGTTCCCCCGCCTCCCCTCATGACCTCGTGTTGTGACTCTCATGAAGTGTTGTACCTGACGATTCTTGACTCAGGTCTCTTTCCTCTTCTGTACACTGAGAGCATTTGCACCAAGATAAATTCCTTGTGTGTCCAATCACACTTGGCCAATAAAAGAATTCTAATTCTAAGAAGTTGTTCTACCTGAGATCTCCGGAAGAGATCCTCTCTAGCCACAAAGCCACTTATTTGTCTTTAAGAATCGCGTTGGTTTTTTTTTTTTAAAAAAAACCCAAATATGTGTTTTTTTGGACTCATGAATCCAGACCTCCCCCTGTTTCTCCACAGATGGGGAAGGGCGAAGCCTTGAAGCGGGAGGCCTTAGACGGCTCTTAGAAGCTACACTGACCATTCGTTTATCTCAAATAGTCCTTGATGTTGACAAGAAAACACTTCCAGCTTCCCGAGAGAAATTAGGTACCAATTTTCCCTCTTGGCTAGCCTGAAATTTCACATCTTCTTGCCCCACAAATGCGAAACCCTTGAAGCGATGGGAAGATAAATGAGGCCTTTTGCTTGGGAGCTTTGCCAAGTTCCTTGGGAGAGGTTTGAAAGCCCCTTGATGGGGGCTGCAACATTTTGTTGAGGATTTCTCTGGCCTCTGAAAAGAGTGAAAAGAAGGTATCGACCCGACTTTGGGGAGCGTGGAGAAAAAGAGGCTCCCGGCAGCCCCTTTCATCTCCTGGCAAACGGGCAATTCCCTCCCGGCTTCAGCCTTCAAGGGGAAGAGTGGTTAATCCTCGGCCATTGGAAATCTTTAGGCGATCAAAGGAGCCCCCACTCCACCCTCTTTGCAACAAGAGCTTTGGAAAGAAAAGGGGCTTCACACCATGCCGGTTCAGAGCTGCGGCCAAGATCGGAGAAGAACAGCCAGGAATATATATATTCTGGTATTTGCTAGCAGAAGAATGAGAAGATGGTAAAGTAAAGAAGGTTCAAAGACACTAGGATTGATGCTTTTCTGTTTTTCTTTCTTCTTTCCTTCCTTCCTCCCTTTCTTTCCTTCCTTCTTCCTCCCTTTCCTTCCTTCCACCTCTTTTTCTTCCTTCTTCCTCCCCTCTTCTCCCTCCCTTTCTCTCCTTCCACCCTTCCTTTCCTTTCTTCCTCTCTCCCTTTCCTCCCTCCATCTTTTTTCTTTCTTTCCTTCCTTCCTTCCTCCTCCCCTTTCTTTCTTCCTCCCTTCCTTCAACTTTCTTTCTCTCTTTCCTTTGTTGGCCGGTGTCTGGATGTTCTTGAGATGAGTTACGGAAGCCCACCAGAAAGTTGCGTTCGATCTCCCGTCAAATGGCCGTCAAAAAAAGGACTTGCTAAACAGGCAGGGGCCGATTTTCAGATCTTCTCTCTCTTCTCCCCAGAGGAACTTGATCTAAGACGGCAGACCGTCTCCTTTAACGTTCTGACAGACCCACCAGCTTTCATGACTGCCGTGGGTCAATTTGCTTGTGGTTGCGGCTTCTATTTTTGCTTCAAAGGCTCGACGGGAAGAAAGGCCATGGCTGGCGAGCATTTTCGCTCCACCAAAGAGCGACACAGAAATAAAGATCATTGTGTTCTCTTTTGATCCCGGCTTTTTGAAAATGTGTCTTTCTGTGTTGTTGAAACTCGCGGTAAAACACAACCCCGATATCCTTTGATGGAAAAGGGAAGAACATTAGCAGCCAAAGTTCTTCTGTTTTTGCAGATGATAATGATGATGATGATGATGATAATAATAATAATAATAATAATAATAATAATAATAATAATAATAATAATAATAATA